CGTTATCTGAAAAGAATAAAGTGTTTTATTATTTAAGAAAAAACTTACCCATTCATCCACGAATGAACCTGCTTCGACGGAAGTGGGTCGTTGACACTGGGTCAGTGTGTCAATCCCGACCTTTTCAGGTAATCCGAAACAGCTGATGTTACGGTCGGGCCGTACGGTAGCCCGTCCCTGAGCGCTGGCTCTACGGACGCTGTGATTAGCCAGTGTTTTTCGTTAATAACTCGAAAACGAAGCTTCAAACTACATTTTGGATAAGGAAAAAATTGTTCAGGGTCACTCCAGCAACCCCTCATTTCCGGGTGGTCCCAGAGTTATGGGACACCCTGTATATGCATTTCTTCGTTTACTGCAGGAAGGAGTAGCGTGCGACTTGCGTCGTATCTTATGCGACGTAATCAATGTCATACTGTTGAGTATGCTCTCGAGCAATTAATCTTGCCTTGTGTTTTTCTATTTTTCCATCTTGATTCACTTTAGTTTTGAACACTTATCTATTTGTTAAAACTTCCTTGTTATTTGGTCTTGGCACGAGAATCCAGGTCCTGTTTTCTTTCAGAGTTTTATATTCTTCATAATTGTGGTTAGTCATACCTCTTTATCTTTTCAATTTATAATTTTACAAACCGACATGGAGTCTGATAATTCAACATTTCCAACGTGATCAATTTTTCTCGGTCTTCCTATTGGACCAGTTCTTGTTAGTAATTTTGGACGACCTCAGCCTCGACATGGTTCTAGACTTCTTTCTTCAACTCTGTTTAGATGTGGATCTTTTTTTCCGAAATCTTCAGATCTTTCATGCTCGTTTTCTTCAAATATTTCGCGAACAGGATTTGGTATTGGAAAGATTTCTTTCGGCGGTTCTTCGTCAAGCACAACTTTCTCGAAAAATTTCGTCTTTGTCTCATACGTCCAATTTTTCCACAATTGAAACATTTACTTGAGAATTTATGCAGGTTTCATCCTGCATTGTTGTCTTCTGAGTTCGCTTTCACCTGTTTCTCACGATTAACATTTCCCTTTTGTTAACAACGCATCACTTTTATTTCCACATTCGTTAAGTTTTTCGTTGCGATAATTCTGTCTCTGTCATTCAAGCAACGGCAACGTTGCGGTGTCGCATCGTCTCCCGACTTACAATTAATACGCTAAAGTTTTCATATTCGGTCGGTAAAGAAGATAGCAACATTATGGACAGAAAATCGTCTGGAAGTTTTATTCCTGCTTCTTTAAGTTGCTCGGCTTTAGTGGCGATCTCACTTACATATTGCGTCATCGATATGTTTTGTCTCTTCCATCCTCAGCAATTGCTCATATTATGCTGCTTTCCTTACTAGTCCACGCAATTCAAAAACCTCTTTGAGTACATTTCACGCTTCCTTTAACGTTTTGCCTTTTTTGACGCGATTGAGCTGGCCATGCGTGACACTTAGATTTAGCAAAGCATACGCTGTCGAATCTTTTTTTATTCATTCTTGTACATTTTCATTCGGTACTGATTCGTTACAGTCAACGCATTACCACAGACCGTTGTACACAAGAATACTTCATTTGCACTTTCTACAATTCGTAATTGTCTTCGTTCAGTCTTTCAATATTTCTGCGACCACATGTACCGACAATATTTTTCTTTTTTTGTACAACACTTTTGCTTGCGCAATGGCACGTCATACCCGCGCCCATAACCTGTCAGCTTTAATAAATATGTTTATTGTTAATATGAATAACTGAAACCACGCACACGCGATGGACACTTGCATTGTATCGACAAAAAAAACGATAATACAACGCAGTGTGACGTCATGCGTATCGATGCCATCTAACGAGTGTCGATTGCATACCATCATAGGGTATACTTATACATTATCGATATACGCATTTAATTCTTCAACAGTGATTTTCCCTTAAAATTATAACGATATATAGGGTGTTTCATAATATGTAGGACTCACTTCAGGAGTGGACAGGGGACACAAAAACAATGAAATAAGTTCATAAAAACGTATGTTCTATTTGACCTTGCTTCAAAATTGTCACTTTTGTGTTTCAATAATTCGCGAGAGTTTATCATTATAATATAAGAGATTTTTATAATTTAGATCAATATTTCCAAGAAACCTTTAAATTTGATAAAAAAGAAAACGTAGGTGCCTTCTCGTTCCACAATTTTTTCCTATTTCTTTTGGTAAGACTGTTTATGTCATCTGTATAGAATTTCCTTGAATTTTTATTCAAATATTTTTCGCCCTCAACACGAACTTATGGGGTGACCTAACATTTTCTTATATCATGGGTTAATAAAAAATATTCGAATCGAGCATACAGTTTAATAACTAGTAAGTCGAGGAAAAGACTGCCGATGTGATATGATTTATGTAGTTATCAGTTGCGAGTTGACTGGTGTTGGTTTGTATCGAAAAGTCATTTCTTACGAGATTTACAGTAATTTTTGTAATTGGGTGCTTTTTGTCTCAGTGATTTCTAAGATGGTACATAAGTACTCACTGAAGTTTAGTCTCAGTTCTTGGCGAAGAATAAAATCATCCCCTTTGTTAGTCAACAAGCTCTTCCTCATCTGGCTTGGCCTTTACTGTGACTTTTTATTATTTAAAAATCTAAAGAGTTGGTTGAAATAGCAATTTTTTTGAAGTATTAAAGATATAAAAAAAAATTCAAAGGCTTATTTGCTTGTGAATGCAATTCTCGAAATGCTTCCAGTAGTATAAATGGTGGCGAGTTATTTTTTCAGATGATTATTCCGAAGGAAATCACTTTAATTTACAATACTTAACTTCTTATGTCGTCTATATGACCTTTGCTGACCTTGAAGGACTTAAATAGTGTTACAGTGTTATAGGTCATGGAAATGGTCTTCAAAATGGCTATCATATACAAATAAATAAAATACAGCATTTCACTAAAAAAAAAGAATTGACCTTTTCATCTCGTTAACCATTTGCAAGGAAATAAAACTATCGTTATTATACACTGACATCCATAAAACTATACATCTTTTGTAGGAAACATTTTTACGAAATTTTAATTACAACGTAAACATTTCATGTGATAAAGTTAGGTGGTACACCCTGTATAACAAAACAGTGTTACAAAACAATTTGTTTTATAACCTTATTGTACAACATGCTTTTACAACTTGTTATAAGATTATACCTTTTGGTATGGTAGTAACAAGACTGTAACGAGGTTGTGTAACATTTTGCATCTCATTATTAATAATGGCGTCAAACGATAAATGGTAAATGTTTTATAACCGCATCTGATTGGCTTGGACCAACTGGCAACATCTCGTATAGCAATGTTTTGTAACTTTCTTTAATCGTTATCAACACTTGGCGGATAACATATCGTTGCTTGTTGATATTGACATAACTCAAAAAATGTAAATTTTGCAGCAAAAGCAGTTTAAAACTTGCATTTGACTGATAGTTGAATACTAATCGTACAATATGATCTACTCTGTGGCATGATATTAACGAAGTTAGGAATGTACCGTTTTAGGTGATAAAAATACTGTATCTGTGGAATCTATTTGTGCAAAAAAAATGAAAATTGACATTTCTTGAGTTATGCCAACCAGCGATATAACTTGCTATATAACACGAAACTGATATTTAACATAATGTTACATGAGCCACTCAGAAGTGAAAATGATTAACTCCACTTTTTGTCAAAGCATATGCTTGGTGCTTAATTTTTTTATAAGTAAAACAAATTTAATAAATTTTATTTTATGGAGTTAGTCACTTTGGCTCTTTCTCTAACAAGTTTTATAATTTTGCTGCATAACGTGTTGCATGGACGCGGCTTAAGCTTTCTTTTTTATACAATTATCGTTTGCTGGTTTCGTTTAGCGGTCAATTAGACAATTAACAGAAAATAAGTACTTTGATTTTAACATGTTAACAAATATCACGTTTATTGGCTTAAATATTTATTATTCAATAATATACATCTGTAAATACGCATCGTATTAAAGTGTTCTGTACCTACTTGAAACTATTAAATTAATTAAGTAATTTATCTGCGCTTATGGCAATCATCCGGCTGATAATGAAAGGAAGGAAGTGAGTGGCACTAGTGGAGTCAGAACCGTCGCGTCGTACAAAAAGAACGCCCAAATCATTCATCCGACTAATGGCACGATACTGTTCCAAAGTATACATCACTATTTGGCATTGATAGTGGCATAACTCAGAACATGTCAATTTTGATCTTTTTGCCCAGATAGATTCCATAGATACGGTATTTTTATCATCCGAAACGGTACATTTCTAACTTCGTTAGTTTCACACCAGAGAGTAGATCAGATTATACGGTCAGTATTCAACTATTAGTCCAATGCAAATTTCAAACTGGTTTTCCCGTAAAATTTACATTTTTCGAGTTATGTCACTACCAATGTCAAGCAGCGACATGTTAATTTTTTGCAAGTTTCATTAAAATTACATTCGTTCCTAACTAGTAGATGTACACTACCGGCTAAATGTTTGGAATCACTGTGCATTGCAAGTTGCAGCAAAATTCTCAAAAAAATAGTTAGCATTTATAATAATTTTTCAACGAATTTTTTATCATTCAAATCAATTGAAATGAGGTAAAGTGCCATTGATCTCCACAACATCAATTTCAAATCAATAAAGAATTAGTAGCGGATTCAGTATTGATGTAAATTGGCAGGTGATTCCAAATTTTTGGCCGGTAGTGTATGTACGCGCTATATTTTGGTTCACTTCGTTGAAAAAGCACGTTTGACATATAAACGTGTAAATATCATGAAATATTAATACTGAAAAAAAAAATTTGACTTACAGTTAGATAATTACAGATCAACGTTTAAATTCTTTGTTTTTCTCCCGAGATAACTTACATTTCATTAATTTTAATTACACTCATAGGCTTGGGTTTTTGTAATTATAACGTTACCTTGAAACTGGTGAGGCTATGAAACAACTATTTCCTTAATGATGCAGATGGGGACGTGCTGGTGACGGTACGAGGTTGCGTGCCGTCACGCAAAATCGATGGATACTGCCAACCCAAGGAATATTTTCCAGGGTCCAGCATCACGTGTTCCTTTTGCAAACACTACGCATGCAATGGTCAAACGTCTACTTATGCGCCCACGTTGAAAATTTTAGGCTTCCTTTTAATTTTGGTTAGTATACCGATGTACGCATTCGCAGTAAGATTCACCGTGTATTTTACGTAGATATTAACTTCTATTATCTGTGAGATATTGGTCACTCCGTTAATTACCTTCATTGGAATTACCTAAATTGAACTTAAATTGAAAAACGTACGGCCGGAGTGTGACTTTGTTAGAAATTTCATAAAGTGTAATTAACGAATTACAATTTTAGTAAAAGAAACGTGCATGTGCTTTAAAATACACCACAGAGGGGAACATGAATGAGAGGAAAGCTGTTTAGAATAAGTTTTAACGTTACACTCACGAGCTATGTAATAATAAGGATAAGTAATGTTTATTGATAACGATGCAATAAAGTAGCGTGATATAAGAAGAGAGGGACATTGCGTAAACCAAAGAAAACATGTAATTAATTATGAATTACCTTATCACAGTTTATTCGAAGCATTTATTAATGCTAATATAGAATAAATTTATAAAGGTTGTAACAAATATTGCGAGGTGTTTAATGTCAAAAGCATATTTGAATCTCCTCGTTTCACAAGGACCTTTCTTAGTTTTCGCATCGTACACACGTTTGGTTCGTAAAAGGGAAGACGATGACGTCGATTGGCCGGAAAAGGCTGTTGACTTTCAAGTCAGAAATTAAATGGCTTTATGAATGAACAGGGAGACACGGTCTGCTCGATGCAACCTTTGTATCAATAGTGGTAAGTTCTAACTAATACCTATCAAACTGTGTATGTATGGATACGGATGCACATATATTTACGTATACACGCATATAGCCAAAGAGAAGGGGTCAAATGCTCGAGTCAATTCGGTAATGTCTTGCGGGGTTAAATGGTCTCCTGACCTCTGACAAGCCTTTCTTAACGAGTCGGCAAGCTCACTTTGCAATCCTATCTTTAGTTATCTGTAACCAATTCGAATGTTTATAAGAGCGCGATGAAGTACAGTCACGTTATTCTGAAAATGGCTGAATTTATCGCTGACATGCAGATTTCCGGTTAAAACGAAGTAAGCGCTGAATTTTTCAGATTGTTACAGCGCGATTATAATTTCCAAATATGTTTGAAAGTTTAGTTTAACGTGCCGTGCGTTATTCTTCCTTGCATTTAGTTGCTCGCGATGGTTAACGACGGATTACAGATTTAACTCTCGAAAAATACTGCATCGTGTAAAAAACATAAAAATAGAGTGGAATTTGAGAATTTTATAAGAAATACGCATAGTACATTACTAATGGTCGCTGATTCAATTATCTTTTTGTTTGGTGCAGAAATGAATTCTTTCCGACTGTGTTCACATAATTCATTCAAAGCCACCGAGTTTCTATCGCGATGTTATTCGCAAGCTGCCAGAAAAAATGGCGAAGGATCGTCGACAATGATGGAAATTATTTCGATGATTGAGGTTTTTATTCTTTTTAAATCAAATTTTAATTATACCCAAAAGTCTCTATAACGCCATGTGACTTGGAGGTTACGTATCATGTATCTATATCTCGTTTTATCTATATTTATTATTACATTATTATCCCCTTCATGAACAATGCAACTGCTATACGTTAAAGAAACTAGCCGGTTTCTTTATAATAATTGTTAGTTCTTGCACCTACCATGAAAATGTAAAACCGTAATTGGCCTCGTAACTTTTCTTTTCATGAACGAAGAAAACTCAGGTTACACAGGGTTAACGCGATCGTTTAAACGATATTGAAACAATTATTTCCATCCCGTTCAAGTCCACTACTTCTCTAAGTCAATAGAGGCAGAAAAAGTGGAATAACAATCAATAATCGCGACAAAAGTTAACGCCGATTTTCGGTTCCCTTCGATTCAATTTGCCCAATGAAAATTTCACAAAAATCTACGAATTTTAAACAAATAGGTAATCCAGTTTCCAGCATAAACCACCGAAAGACCCCGGAGAACATTCAGCGGGTTCGTAATTATCCTAATGAGTTGAATGAGTGCTTCGAGCAATGCTGTTCTCTCTCCCTCTGTCTTTATTGAGCTGTAATTACTGTTTCGCCTGTTGTGTTCTGTTAAAAGGCTTCTTCGGTTGTTTGCTTCTGACTCCTACTTCCTTGCAGTTGCATTGTTCACGGAGGAGTAACAGAGTTATTACGTACGATACATTATTGGGCTGGTCCATGGTAACCGGTTCCCTCGAGAAGAGCGGCGAAACTGGAAGAAGGGAGGGAGCAAGGGAGAAGGAGGCTCTGTGTGTATGCTGTCGGCAAAAAGGGGGTGTTGTCTCCTCAGTAACGTAGCGGACACGTTGCACAAAGCTGTCAGTTTCTCTCTGTCTATTTCTGGATCCACATGGTATCACTCTTCACGTATTAAACGCACGTACCACTTGTGATCTGTTCCGACTAACGAACTTTCTCATTTCATCCAATCGAAAAGTATTGAGATTGTAAAGTGACCGTTCAACATGTCTGGATTAGCATGGATCTTGGTCGTTTTCGGTCTGGTTGCGTTTGCCCAAACAGGTGAGTAGATCGACGCGTAGAAGTTCAGAAAATCTTTCCTAAAGTAATGTGTAGAACGTTGATGTGTTTACCGCACTGTTTTCTCGGTGACGATGCACACCGGTGTAAGAAGAGTCTCGACGTAAAGAATTTATGAATAGGACGTGAAGGTTGAGTTTCCTGAGAGGAATTGGGGAAAAAGTAAAAAACTGTAATTAAGCAATAAATTTAAACCGTTGTACTGTAGCAGAATATTTCGAGAATAGAAGACAAATATGTTACATTTTTATCGCAGGAAAAAATTAAATGTTAGAAAGGAATTTGATCGCATATTTAAAAAATCAAATAATTCAGAGGTGGAAATTATACGTTTGTTTTTAAACAATAACGATAATTAATTACGCAATCGTTGGTAATTAAAACATGCATGAAAAGTCATTACTGTGTAATTATGTAATTTATTCGTGAAACTTGTTCTGAAACAGTTATTCCTGTTTTCTCGTTTCTGTTACTTATGCTTGCTATAATTGTTCTTGTTTTCCTGGTATGAACTGGCTCATTGCTATGGCCTCGTAGGATGCACTAGCCTATCTATTGTTAAGAATACTTTATTTGCTATATTTCACAGTGTAATATAGATTATAGATACAATAGAAGCTCTAGAATTCGGCCATTTTTATGCACTTCATCATGTGTTGCAACGGAATGAGAAACGAGAAATTGTTAAAACACTCCGTAACATTATAAAAGTAATTCATTTAAATGTTTCGTCATTACTACAGCAAGCGATAAAGAAAAAATGTTAAAATGTTTTGAACTCGTACGTTTAATTTAATATCTCATAGATAACATTAAATTAGCTCTTTATGGACAAATTTAACATTACGAAATATGCTGCGAAAATGATAGAATTTGCTGTATTTAACGCATTCATTAATACATATTTCATAATGTGATAGGTTCAGCTCTACAATGTTGGGATTGTGCTTCCAACACGAACACTCTGTGCGGTGATCCACTGAATATCACGCAACACCAAGTTACCTTCCACACAAAACTTTGCGAAGCTGGTTCTTACGAAACGTCGAAACATATATGCCGGAAAATTGTGAAAAGAGGTAAATAATTTAGAAGATCATTTATTTTTATTAACAGTTAATCAATGAATCACAAGGGTATCATCAGCGTATTATCGGACAAATTAGTTTTTATTTTATAAATATTAACGAATTAATTATATTAAATTATATGAGGCTTATTTAATGCTCTGGTTAATCAGGCAAATTTGTTTTCATTTATTTTACTATAGCTGATGTCAAAGTAAGATGTACGTTTCCTCGTAGCTCCTTTCACATTATTTTGTTCTATATTATTTAGATAATAACATTTTGCTGTATAAATTCATCTGTCTAAGCGAGATCTTGAATTTTTGTACAAAATTGAAATCCATTATGATACATATTTTTGCATATTTAAGGGAGCAAAGATAAGTACAGTAAATTCTCCACAAGTGTCAGTCCGCAAGGAACCTAAACCTGACACTTGTAGAGTCAGGGACTACGTTTTCGCGCCTCGCGTCCGCCTTTGTAGTTTGCCGAACGTAGACAAGGACAGCGAGTAAAAGATAAGGATGAAACGTGAGTCGAGGCAACCAAGCGATTTAAATACCAACTTTTTTAATTTTACGTTTTTTTATCCCGAAATTTTTCTTAACATATTGATGAGATTTTTCTGATGAAAACTACATCAAACACGACATAATTTGAACAACATGTCACGCCAGACAGTGAACGTGTTAATAAGTAAGTATTGTTCAAATTATATCGTGTCAATTATATCGAGAATTTACTTTTACATTTTATAAGTGTGCAATTACATGCAAATATTTAATAAATGTGTCAAATAAAAGTAAGCAAGTCTATTGCGATATAAATGATAATATTATTTGTATTAAAAGCTCAACACCGCCAGAATAGAATTTATACCGTTATAAATATATTTTTCTACAATTCGTGTTAGATTTAATAAGATTTTCACAGCTAACTTGCATTATTTAGGGAGTTTTGTACACAGTTGTGTCATAAATTTCATACAAAAGGTATTTTAATCTCTTGGAAGAAGTGTAGCCATTGCTTAAAGGTATTTCCGTTGAAATCGGATATACATAAACCTCCAATAATATCGTAATAAATCTACTTTACTAGGATGATCATGCCTTGAGGTTTCTTAGTCAGCTATAAATGTAACGATATATTACTCAATTAGAAGTGATGTTCTCACATGCGATGACGTACACTTAAACGTCTCGTGGAATTAGAGGAACAGCGTAACCGGGTGACCATAGTCTTCGAATTGATTTGCGTGGACATGCCGTGTTGCACCCGTGAGTCACGACACGTGCTCCTTCGTTATAATTGCGATAATTGTGTTATCAAGGTCGAAACCACACCCGTGTTGAAGAAAAATCACACGTAGATTCATGAATATTGAGGTTAATCGCATTAATATGACTGGAATCTCAAGATTAATGGCAGCCAAGTGTACATGCGATAACAGAAAAATCGCCAGAGTTTGCATAATTCTGTAAATGATCATATTTCGACGTAAATATCCGTGCTTTATCACTCAGCTTTGTCACTGCGCAACAATATTTTCCGTACAAGTGGTTCTCGTTATTCGAAAAATAAAATACGTTTAAAAATACTAAAAGTGTTCCTGTAATGTTATCAGCAACACTGAATTATTTAAAAATAATATCCATAAATGTAAACGTTAACTAATTACATTTATTTAGATGATATTTTGTTTAATTTTTTTTTTTTTAAGAATTTAACAATTATTTGACTTTTAATGTTGTCCGAAACTGTTCTCTTGCTCAGTTATATTTACCTTTTATTGCAAACGAAACGAAAGAGTTTTCGATTCCAATCTTGGTTAACTGTAACTACTTCCGGAAATTCTCAGTACATTTTGAATCACGGACATTGCGCAACCTGTTGCGCTAGATCGCTCAAACAATACTCCATTCCAAAACAAACGCAAAAGGAAAAAACCGCACGCGACATACTTACTTGGTTGTACATGTGAACCGGAAATTCTGAGTACACATACTATGCCTGTTCCATACGTGTTCTGTTATGTAGCATAGAAATTTCGCAAAATTGGCCATAATTTGTTTTAATGCCACGTATTCATCACGTACTAGTACCATTTCGTGAATTCGTATTATAAGATAAATACATGCACCATAGGTATCACTTATTGCACGGTCTACTGTACTTTAAATACGATAAAAGAATATAAAATGTGTGTTCTAGATACAATATTCTTATTTAATTTCGATTATGTCATTAACGAAATCTAAATTTTATAAATACACTACCGGCCAAAAGTTTGGAATCACCTTTCATCAGTACTGAATCTGCTACTAATTTTTCACAGACTTGATATTGATATTGTCGAGATAAATAGCAATTTATCTCATATCGATTCTTAAAGCTGAAATTCTTAAAGCTGCTGACTTTTTTCTGGCAATTTTTGTGTAACTTGCAATGCACAGTGATTCCAAACTTTTGGCCGGTAGTGTGTATCAATTTTTAGGATAATCTCATTTCTAGCACAATGATATAATCAAAATGTTGAGACACAAAGTACACCGAAGGGTTAATTTAAAAGTTTCGTGCGTAATTGAATTGGTAATTAGTTCTATCTTGTGCAAATATTAGTTAAACCAACCTGTAATCGAACGCAATTTCTTTAAAAAACTGTGTAATATATTTAGCCGAAATAATTTTCACATGATTCTACGTACTTTTCTAAACGATCCACCAATTTTTCCAGATTTATAAAAATTATCAGTTCGAAAATTAAAGAATTATTTTTCTCAAGGCTAGAAAGGCGGGTATTGCAAAATTCTACTGCATGAAGTTTTTGCATAGATATTTTCGGCACTCAAAATCTTAATTGTCATTTAGTAGGATTTATTTCCATTTGTTTACACTCCATCTATTTTCCGACAGTGTATTTCTGTTGGCATTATAGACTCAGGATGTACAAGGTGACAATAAATAAGCGTTGAATATATATATTGATTAAAGATTTGCATATGCTTGTATCGTATGGAACAAAAATCACGTAAATATTAGAAACAATTTACCATTGAATTTATAACGGTAAAACTTTTGCTTAAGTAGTTTCACAATATCAAACATTGTCATTCACGTTAATCGGTTTAACTTTCAAATCAAATTTTTTTTTAAACAAATTTTATACATGCATTATGTTGCGCGAGTGGATAATACTTGTCAGTAGCGTTTCCACTAAATCTTCATTATTTGTCCCGTAGATCATTCGGTTCTGTTCTTTCGAGCCTACCTCGAATAATATGGAAGGGTCGAGGGTGGAGGGTCGACATACAACAAAATTGTATGTACTATATATTTAAGTTTAATCGACTATTTATCAATTAAATAATTAAACTTAAATATATGTACAATATTACATTATCAAAATGTTTTTTATGATTTTATTGCACGATTTATAAACACTTGTGGCGACCAGCTGTAGTACAGAAGCAAGCAATTGCCGCGCGGACGACCAACACGGTTTATGACGGGCACGCTAGAAAAGCTATTTTTGAGAAAACCGTTTTAGTCTGTTTAACGTTTAGTAAATCTAACAATGCATGTTTTCGTAGAAACTTTCATCAACGGTCTCAATAGCAATTTGCCAGGTCATAAACCAAGGGTTGCCGAAAGGTCCGCGTACGGGCCCAGAGGCCCAGGCCTCAAGTACCAAATGCGCTACAGCGGACAATACGCCCCCACCATAATTCGCCGCGGTCCTGGAAAAAGCGCGCCAAGGGCGTAAAGGACTAGCGGCGGGTTAAAGACAAAATTCCTGATTGGTCACAACCAACAAGTTGCGGGTAACCAATCAGGAAAAAGAAGAGGGTGAGAAAGAAGCTCGCGAGGTGACTTGGAGAGTCAGAGTCAGTGAAGCAGACAGTCATTAAGCAATAATCAAACTGTACACCTCGTGAGCCAGTAAAATGATAAAGACAAAAGGAACTTACTGTGTGGGTACTAAGTAACCCAGATCACGCACTATCCTCCTATCATTAAAACCAAAACCTACACACCCGTCGATCCTAAAAAAAAAAATGCAATTTTTTAATATTATTATCAAATCACCTAGAGTAATACGAAACCTCGGTTAAACTGGACCCGAATAACCGAGACTCCACTCTATTTGAAATAAACGAAATAATTGGGCTGCGAATTGATAGGTGCAACGTTTCTTTCAGACAACGGCGAACGAGTAGTAATTCGTCAATGTTCTACTCCAAACGTGGACGAAGCAGACATCGTGGATGGTCCGTGCAGCGCCACGGCGATGTCAGGTCGGAGCGTAATCGAGTCCTGCCATATTTGTAGCACAGACCTCTGCAATTCCGCGACGAGTGTATCGGTTATGCAACCGCTTTTCGTCACCGCGCTGGCCATTGTTGGCTATTGTTTCCTTCCGTCGAAACACAGCGTCCTTTAACGCGGCAAAACTCTAACGCGAGCATTTTTATTCTGAATTAACGATCATCCGATTTAAACACCATTGCGAATAAATGTTCAGACACGATTAGTATGTATTTAGCAAATAAATTTTACCGTCTTCTTTTTTTGCTAGTTCCTTCAAATAACCGTCTACTAGTTAATTTTAAGCTGCCGTTTTGAAAAGACAAAGCAGTTTCAAGTTTTGTTACCGCAATATTGCGCTGTATTAGAGCGATTTTACATGTTCGGGAGAAGCTCGTTAATTGTATTATAGTTAGAGATACCTCGTTAGTTGTGTACTAATTAGAACGGTCGACACACGTGTATTGCAATAATTGCGTAACCGTACTGAAAGCTTTACTTAATCCGATCGTGCATCCAACGATGTACGATATTTTCGTAAAAAACAGAAAAACTCTTATTTTTGTACAATGTATGTATATAGATTTAACATGTGTGACGTGGTTATGTAATAAAGAATTCTTATCTCGACTTAGTTTGCAATTATAAAAATTGCGGCTCGTCGCGTTCTCGCTAAGGCTTTCACGCTACCATATGTCAAATTCCTTAAACAATCGAATAATCGACGTGCGTTTAATATTTGCACGTTACTGTAGATAAACATTCTCTTGCGTCTTAACACACTATCTCCGTCTAAATTTCTTCTTTGTTAGATTCTTAAATTTCGTATTAGTTATAACAAAACTTTAGGATTTTTAGGGGAAAAAAATATGGAAAATGTAGCTTATCAGGTATCCGTCCAATGTATAGAATAATGCAGAGCTTTTTAGCAAACATTTTATTATTTTTCATTTCCTAAATATTGATGTTCTGTCAAATTTTGAAATTAGGTTTACAATTAGCTTTAATCGTGGACAAATTCGAATCTGTAAAGTGATTAAATCTTTGCTTGAACTTTCGGTTGTACATTTGCTTTGTATTTATCGTAAGGTATTTTCATTAATTTGTCCATTTTTCAACTGTAACCTTAGCAACAGCATAACGAATTGTATTTTTTAACGGCGCATTATTTTACTCTCCCATAAGAGGTAACAGAACGTGCTTTATAACAATTTATATTATAAAATTAACAGTATTATTTAAGCAGAAAATTTCCATTAAATATGTTATTTCCTCGAATATATTATTATATAATAAAAACTCAAATGTGCTAAATAACGTTTATTCATTAGTATACATTTATTAACTCAATACATGAAAATAATGTGATAAGATAGAGGCTAAATTGTTTAAAATTTTGGGAATATCAAATGTATGCACGAAATGTCTAATCGTTGACTAAAAGTTGATTATTTCTATCATTTCTAGGATAAACTAAATTTTATATTTGAAAGGTATATCAAATATTACATATGTATTTATTAAATAATTGTTCTGATGAATTGTTGAGTTAAATGATTTTATACTGATCATGCTATTAATCAATTATACTTTCAGTACTAACGAATACTAAAAGTTTAAACGAACTACGCTAGTATAGACAATTATTATCAAGTAACTCTTGCATACATATACTTTGTTTATTCATTCAAAAGCACTTCTGAGACAACATTTTTCAAATGACTAAAATAACAAATTTTTTATTATAAGTTAGTCTATAATACGTATTAGAAAATTTGATGAACAGGTAGAAAACCGCGTGGCCAAACTACACAAGTGTACGTTCTACTTCGGAGTTTTGGATATACAGGATGTTACTTAAGACTAGAACCTGGAATATCTTCGAAACTGTCTATTATACCGAAAAATATTTCAGACAACATTTGAATGGCGTCAATAGGGACATAATTGGATGTACACCTATCCCCCGATTTACACGGTACATGTTTTACACGGTTTTCAAAAATTAACTGTTGAAAACAAAAATTTATGCTGCGCACATATTTGTAGTCATTTTTTAGTACCGTTCGTTTATTAACACTGGCATTAAACCTAAAAAAGAAAATTCCTTCTTTTTGTACATAAAAAGCATTCATATTACAACATAAAGTTTGGCGCTAACGCGGATCTTTCTGATACTTTTTGTTTTTCATTTGTATTTTCCTTTTATTTTACATTGCAATAAATGAATTTAATAAAATAACCGACTAAATTATTGGCAGTTTTTTCTCGATTTACACGGTTTTTCATACAAAAAGCCATGATTTCGATTTACACGGTACATATTCTGAAAAAACCGATCTTCCGTGTAAATCGGGGGATAGGTGTAATTAAATTTTTCTTAGATTGGCGCGTAGAGGAGATATGAAGATCTTGTTTTTTTCTTTTTTTTTTTAATAGAATTGTAAATTTTTTTAATGCCTTATTCAATTCAGCTCATCGATCCCTATAAAATAGTATTAAATTATTCATGCAAGAAGCTCATTAGTTTTAGTTTTAGTAATCAGGCGAGGAGTGCGTGAGTGCGTGTGTGTTTTCTTCTAACGAAAAGTGTGCATGTATGCAAGATGACATTAGGGCGAATGCGAGGGAGCGAGAGGGAGTGTGAATCCAGCGATTGATTGAGCGACATCCCTAGCGTAGCGATATAAACTATTAATAAATATAGCATAGTCAAAAGTCCGTTCGAGGTTACTATCCCTCCACACATAAATCCCCTACATACGTTAATGTCAACATTGCGAAGCGGTATTGATAGACCTATTTAGTACCTGCGTTTATGCTCTTCTTAATGACACGAGGTGTTTCCTTCTGCAAAATGATAGAGGATAACGAGTCAAATCTATTTATACCATTTTATGCGTGATTCTAATGTGTTAACCTTCAGATGATTTAAATAATGTGCGTGGTCACCAGTAGAATTTATATTGGACTTTTTTTTATAAAGAATAACGTGTTGAATCGATCAATGCATTAAAAAATACACGATACCATTAAAAAAAAAAAAATTGACCTTCGTATCTCCTCTACGCGTTCACCTAAGAAAAAACTAATAGCATCAAATTATGTCCTCCTTGACACCATTCTACTTTTGTCTGAATCATTTTTCGGTATAATCGGCAATTTCGAAGATATTTTAGGATCTAATCTTACAATAGATGACTCACCCTGTGTAAGTGCCGTGCCTCTTCTTCTCAGTTCTCTTACCAGATGACACCTTCACCTTCTGCACTCCGTGGTCAGATCTTCTACATAGGAACAGTATTTCTATTCTTCAAGGTAGGGGTGTCGAACTTCTTTCTCTCCGAAAGTCACACAAGTTTGGCTCTCGGTCAGCCGGTCCCCCCTCACTTCTTTTCCACCAGGAGTTTCATGAGTCCCATTATATATTTATGGCTCTGATAGTGTTAACTACAAACAAGGGATTTATGTACATGTGTACATATATGTAGCGATGACTAGCCTGACGATGGTGGGGCTTGTGCGGTACCCGGAAGAGAAGTTCATCAGAGTGAATTAGGTATGGAGGGGTTCTCCAACGGCTCTGTGGAGCAGACGAAGAGGAGAAGGAGCTGCATGTTGCTCGCGAGCCGCCAGTCCAACACGGCGGAAGGAAATTTTCAAAATACCCCATGGTCCCACTTGTGGAAGAGCCTGGAGAAGTGTGGAATTTTTACCCGCTAAAACCTCCACGGTGGCCTACCTCGGGCGTTACGGGGGTTCACCAGTCCAGAAATCAAGTTCCATCCCCTGGCTTTTTCAAAATCCATTCCTTGCCATTCCTAAACTTCTCCATGTGCTCTTCTAAAGAACCAATCCATCGACGTCCGACAGCTACATGACTTCGAGTCACTAGTTATCGTTACACCTTTGGCTTGCACACTCTCACACTTAGGTTCGCCGAGCACATTGTAGTCTGCAAGTCCTTACCGTAAGTTGTTCGAAAGGAAAGTAGTGACTGGCTAATTATAACACGTTGGTAATAATTTTTTTTTGTTTTCGAAAATTTCAAGGTCACCTTTATTACTATTCTGCCCTTAGTAGAATAGCAAACGTTTATGCGATTTTAACGACCTGTTTTACTAGGTCAAGCGGCGTTAAGGAGAGATATACAGCTGGAGAGGCCTAAAAACTGACGTTCTCTGGAACTTTTTGTTGTGAAAGCATGAACACTATTGTATTCGTAATTTTTCATTAATTTAATCTTATCTTTGGCTATAATACTTCATTCTTTTATATGAAAAATATTAATAATATATTAGAGTTATAGGAACTAGTTTCAAATGCGTCATTCGCTGCAGAGATTTGCGGCGCCCACTCCTACTTAAACAGCAAAAAACAAATTAGTTTCGTAAAATATATTAACAAATGCTGTTTCTGACATGGCCGATTTAAAAAGAAGTTGATTTTTAAAGAAATCACAGCTCTCTGAATGAAAGTTTCAATTTTCGGACACGAAGTCTTGCCCTTTTTTGTACAATAAAAAAGAAACTACAAATCCGATAAAGAATCCGTCACGTCAAAAACTGCGTCATGGTGTACCACATAGCCATGCAAAATTTCAAGCAAATCTGTTTAATGGTTTTCGAATATTCTTGAGCACCGCTTTTAAAAACCTGACGAAACGGTTTGAAATATCACAAACAGTAAATATTTTATCTTGCTATGAATCATCGATTGTGGGTCCATAAAATAAAACCTTGGAACTTGAAGCAATCTCACTGATTAACAGTTTATCCAATCTGCGTGATGTTCTAGTTTGTCTCATTTTGCGTTCGGACCTCGACTTTAGATATGTATATGGTGCTCATCCTCTGTAGACACATATCTGTGAGCATTTGGACCCACAGGTACGCACATACTTCGTAAAAATTGCAATAAAGACGTTGTATTTTCATTAAAAATGCAGGCAGCAACACAAGCAGCAGTTTCAACTGTCAGAGTGCCGCTGTACATTTTTTCGAGCCATTTTCCAAATTAAGTTATTCAAACTCTCGTTATTGTTTTGATTGAAGCCACCAACACATCGCTGTAACAGTCCTCCTTCACTCGTGTCTTCGTAAATTGGGCAAATTACATTAATGACAGTGGCGTTCAGCGTTTAGGCGTGTAGGCCAACTTCGTGACCAGCTCATTCGCTCGATATAACACTGCCTGATTTCTTTTCTCCGGGAACATTAAAAAATATCGTGCAACAGAAAAAGCTGGCAACGCCAAAAGATATAAAAGAAAGAATTATTGCAACATTTAATAGAATCAATTCGGAAGTAATAAAAAGTGTACGGGTTTCAACGGTAGAACCGTTTCAGTGTTGTGTCGATGCGTTTCAAGCACCTTTTATGATGTAACCATAGTTGTTTTACTCCTATATTTAACGTCAATTGACCTCGTTTTGTGTGTCATTGAAATCGTCTAAACACCCACTATTCTACTGGGGGCGACAAGGTGCTATTTAAAAAAAAGCGCAGGTAGCCTTGAAATCACCGAGAAACCTCCACCCACAAAGAAATTATTACTAACGAGGGAATTTCGGTAACTGGAAAATTCAAGAAAATTTGAAACTTTGCAGAAATGTAGTTCACGTGACGCTAATCAAATCTATTTTTTGTTTCGGCAATGAAACAGTCCTAAGGATGAAAGTACAAAATACCCCCCAAAAATAATTATGAAATTTCATATTGTCGTGAATATTTACAAAACCGTACAAGATATGGAAAAGAAGATATCCTATATCAAATATCGCCGTTTATGAGAATTGGGGAACACTTTGTAAAATAATAAAATGTGCATGATTCACCTGGTGCATTTGATTCCGTGCTACCGAGCTATTTATGTATATATTCTGACGTGAATTAAATTTCTTTTTGCAGCAGACAAGCAGAACTTACTTTTGCCGTTAATTGTAAAAAGGCGATATTCCAATGCGAGCAACGTGAAATTTTGTAAAATGCAGTTTTACAATATAAAGTGCAGATTTTTCAGTGTCTACTGTAAATAACTATTTTAAAATATTTATGTTAAATTAATTGGTATATCACAATGAGTTTGTATATATAGTGAGCATTATTTGAATATAATTATGCGGATACATCGCATGCGTATAATTTACCAGAGTGTATTGGCGAGTGTGACGAATATCGATGAGTATAATTGGTGGTTTTGTCCGTTTAAAAAATGTTTTGATGCAAATCGTATACACGGTTGTAAAGAGCTCTCAAAAGGCTATTTATTGAGTGCCATCAAAAACGAAAATATGAAAAAATTAAGAATGGTGGGGGTCAATTTTGAAAAAAAGTTGCTTTCGGAAAATTCTTTACCATCACAACCATACAACTTTGAATTTAACTTTTTTTCAGAGAATATTTCTCTGTCGCGCTCTTAAAATTCCTTAAAGCTCGCTTCCGATAACGGAAAATAACAGAATCCTTTCATGTTTATCTCTCGAGTAACGAAGGGGAGTGTTACGTACGCAGACTAGCCGACACGGCGGCGCCGAGACATCCGCCTAGGGCTCACCCCCTTGAGATAAAGTAAACGAACGCGTTTCGTTCTCATGGGAAAATTAGGACCCCCACCACCCAAAAAATACAGATTTTTGGGTATATAGGGCATGATTTCCGATGCTCTGGGGCAGTCACTCTGGACAGAGTCACTTTGAACTTTAAAGTAGAGCAGTATTCGTATAGTCGCCGTTTGACACAAGCAAGATCGGGCTCAATTCCCTTTCAAGCAACTAAGTATAATGCTTATCTCGTAAGTGTCAACTAGACATACTCGTCTACGACGTCCCCGCGTACTCGCCGTGTAAAGTCGAGAAGGAAGATTCTTGCTCAGCCAAGAATCAACCAATATACTTTATCTTTAGACCATTGTAAACTCATTTATTATTATTAGAATATAGTTACTGTAGAATTGCTTCAGCCTATATTCAATTAACCATCTCCTTGTAACATTAGTAACGAATCAGCTAAACTCACAAAGGATATATCTTTACCACTCGAGGTGTATCCGACATTACGATACGTACTGTCCTCACAACCACCCAACCTTTCCATCCTTCGGAGAACGGCGTATTAACCACATACGTCGAAGGTTCCAATCCTATCGGACTTGTTGTCAACCACGTATCACCCTCATACGGTGAACGTTCTGACCGGTCCAGCACAAACCCCTTGTCGTCAACGTACACGTTGAAACTCCAAACCGTTTCATCCTTCGGAGAACGGCGTATTAACCACATACGTCGAAGGTTCCAATCCTATCGGACTTGTTGTCAACCACGTATCACCCTCATACGGTGAACGTTCTGACCGATCCCCAAAACCCAAACCAATATTACGCTCCGTGTGAGGACACAACAAGCGTAACCCGTAACAGGAGCATGATTCCGTTCTCACGAATAGCAATGAAAAGTTAAACCATGACCTATCTAGGACCATTAAAAATCTCCTTATATGGAAATCTTGGCAGATCCCCACCCATTCCTAGGGGTATATAAACCCTTTGATTTTAACCCTTGGGGGCAAAACTGAAAAGTTATTAGTAACCTCACGTTTGTTAGAAGTTGGTTGCATCCAGTGAGATTGGGCTCATGTTCCCCTTCGAATCATCAGTTAACCCTATAGAATCCTCGAGTTCGGTAGAATTCGTATTCGCTAAATTCTTGTAAACACTCTAACTACTTAAATCCGAGTAGTTAGACAGTAGGTAACTAACTTTTCCGACGGACAGACATATATGTAAGTATAGAGTTTTAGAGAGAGCATCGAGTGTTGCAGTATTGCGAGAGAAGTAGAGACTATAGGGACATTCTCTATTCTTGTTTAAATATATTTGTTACTGTTTTCAATTTATGTAAGTAAACCCGTCTGCAACCTGACATTCTTGTAATATTTGAGAAAAAGAATTGCAGTGAACAACAACTTTGATCAGCATTTAGTACAGATAAATAAAGCTGTACTTAGGAACGCAGCATACACATATGTGTAATATACTAAACATACACGTAATATACTAAAGTAAAAGAAACTCAATTTTCAATTTCTGATTTTTCATTTACGTAAGAAAATCTGTTCCAAGGTCTGCGAAGTAAGCCTAGCTTACATGCGTGGGGGTGACCCACCCTAAATAAGGTTCTTCCCTGGCCAGTTTTGCCCAAACAGCGTGCATAATCGGGCAGGACGATGCGTCCTAATTCTTGATGAGACCACCAAACGTTTGACTTGTCATTCGCCGCTCACACAACGCGTTCACAACTTTGTAGCAAATATAGTTCTCTTATAAAAATTCCACGATGCTTAAGTAATCTTCGCGCCCACTCTTCGGCTTAGAGTACTTCTGACATTTATAATTTTAAATTTATGTACTTTATTAGCCCATGTGCATGCTAATATGACGTGCTTATTCCTCTTTTGAACGTTGGATAAAATTGAAAAAGTCCAGATATCGACAGATCGTTGAATTAATAAAAAAAAAGTTTATTAAAACATCCAGCCAAAATTATCATCAATACGAAATACAATAACAAATGTAATCCATAATTCTTGGTTTGCAATAGCATCGATATAAAATAAAAAGTCGAAGAAAAAGATGGTAGTTACTTGATAATATAACCAATGTTTTTCTGATTTCCACTGTAAGGTAACATTGGAATATTACAGTGATACGAATTTTTTAACCAATAACATTTATTTATTTAACAGAAGTATGAATTTATTAGTAATCTGTGCTAGAGAAACATATTGGAGTTCTCCGATACGTTGCAGCAATGTACAGTAAATTCTCTACAAGTGTCAGTCAGTTTGGATTCTACAAGTGTCAGTCAGTTTGGATTCTACAAGTGTCAGTATAGATGGTCCTAGTGTAACGCTACACCACTCGGTTTCCTTCACGAGATTTCACGGCTCGACAATTCATAATAGAAAAAAATAATTTCTTTAATTTTACTTTTTTTCATCTGAAATTTTTTTAACAATGTTGGTGAGATTTTTCTGATGAAAATGATATCAAACACGATATAATTTGAACAACATTTACTTATTAATACTTATTGAGTAATTAATTTAATGGGGTCGATTCGACAAGTGTCAGTAAAATGTAGGGCCGATTCTACAAGTGTCGGTCAAATGTAGGGCCGATTCTACAAGTGTCAGTCTCAAATGTAAGTGTCAGGCAAACGGCAGACCAATTCTCCAACTGGCAGTCAAACGGTAGGCCGACTCTATGTAATATAATACAGGGCGTCTGTTTATCTCAATACAGTGAAATATCTGGCGTGACAGGGAACGTGTTAATAAGTAAATGTTGTTCAAATTATGTCATGTTTGATGTCATTTTCATCAGAAATATCTCATCAATCTGTTAAGAAAAATTTCGGGATAAAAGAATGTAAAATTAAAAAAGTTGGTATTTAAATCGCTTGTTGCCTCGACTCACGTTTCATCCTTATCTTTTATTCGCTGTCCTTGTCTACGTTCGACAAACTACAAAGGCGGGCGCGAGGCTCGAAAACCTAGTCCCTGACTCTACAAGTGTCAGGTTTAGATTCCTTGTGGACTGACACTTGTGGAGAATTTACTGTACTTATAAATAGCTAGAATTTCAGCGACAAAATATGTCTTGCTGGCTAAAACGGAAGTTTTAATCAAAGCCATCGTGAAAATATATCCCGCTAAAATCTTAGTGCTGCGACAAGTTACTCGAACTAAGAAACTAACAGCGCTTGGAATGAAGTTTTCTATTGTACGAACGCTATACGAATTGAAACGCAAAAGCGATCCGCGCGATTCGGAGGAAGCTTCAATCTGCGCGCAGCAATGCAGTTTTCTCCCGTGACTGCAATTGAATTTGAAATTCAACGATGGCGTCCTAAGTGGCTCTCCTTCCTAAGGAATTATTTCAATTTCGACTGTGCGACGGAGAAAGTTTATTAACAACCGGATCACATCTACAAACGCAACAGGAAGGAAAAAGGAACCAGTCCATGAAGATACCTTTGCAATCGTTATCAGGATCGTACGCAAGTAACCTGTGCCATTTGTACTTTTGTTCACAACCACAGTCCCCGGTGCACCGGTTTGTTTGAGTTTTCCTGAAAAAGAGTACACACTGAAGAGAAATTTCACTTTCATGTGAAACCACAGCCGTGAAAAAGCACACTTACGAACAAATCTCCTGATGAATCGCTTGCTCGAAATGTTGCGTGTTTACAATGGCACGAATTTTGCCAGCGCTGTTGCTAGCCCAATATGGCGTTACAATTTCCACCTTAGATTCGCATGCGTCGATTCTGAGAAATATCAGGGTATTTTAAGATTGCGATAAACTTCTTGTCTGTCGACAGCGTTATTACAAGGTACTATAGAACAGGGGTGGCCAAACTGTGGCCCTTCGGGGCTCATGTTATAACTTCTTTGTGTGTATAAAGTTCGATTTAGACTCGAGCAACGCGACACTGTTGTGATATTATTCATATAAAAACAAAAATTAATTAAAATTAAATTAGGGTGTCCCACGTAACTGTCGCCACGATTTTTCGGGCACTTCCGGTAGCCAGATAAAAAAAGTATTTGTATAAAAATTAATTAGTTTTGCAATAAGAATGCAATAGAAAAAAATTCAAAAAAGAAATTTGTTCGTGAAAAATGTAGGTCACCTTCATTTTTTTAATACATAATATTATTGCTTATGCCAAGACGAGTTCAACGGCCTAGTATATTATGACCTTGACATGACTTTGAACTCAAAGGGAATTGTAAAGTATTCCCTAACAATCGGTGCATTATGGGGTGGACAACCATCTTGTTGAAAATGAATACGTTCAACAACATCAGCTGGCAGGTCTTGCAATAATATTGGGAGATGAACACGTAGAAAATTTAAATACACTTCTGATGTCAAATTTTGTTCAGCACATTTTTCAGTTCAAAGTCATGTCAAGGTCATAGTATACTAGGCCGTTGAACTCACCTTGACATAAGCAATAAGCTGACCTTCATTTTTCACGAATAAATTTCTTTTTTGAATTTCTTTCTACTGCATTTTGTAGCCGACTAAAAACTAATTAATTTTTATTCAAATATTTTTTTTATCTGGCTACCGGAAGTGCCCGGAAATCGTGGCGACAGTTACGTGGGACACCCTGTATATGTATGCACATACATGAACGTATACATATGTGCATGTGTATCGAGGATGCGGCTCTCGAGAATTTTTGATGGACGATATTTACTCCCATTACGACAAAGTTTGGCCACCGCTGCTATAGAATGATATTATAAAAAGATAATTACAAATGGAGCATGACAAATTTTTAATTATTATCCTCCTGAAAAGTGATACGCATCAATACATTCTTCACTATACAGGGTGTTCCGGCAACAGTGATATAACAAGGCATGGGGTGATTCCTTGTAAAAAATTAAGATGAAAGTATAGAGTAAAGTTTTTCCATATGTGGCTTCGTTTTCGAGGAAAACGACTTTGAAACTCGTTGTCGCCGAATTTAACATTTCTCGATTTTCTTTTATGGAGTGTTATTAAATTAAAAGTGTATTCCAGAGATAATAGGAATACTGAAGAACTAAAGGGAAACGCTGTTTTAGCGTCTGAAGAATTAAAAGATACTCATAATGCACTACAAGGAGTACATAATAATTTAGTTCAAAGAGCACAATTGTGTATGCAGTATCATGGTCGACACTTTGAACAGATTCTGCAGTAATAAAATCAGTTTTAAAAAAGCAATACATAGTCTTATCCTTATTTACGAAATCGTTCGAACCAAATACATAATAAAAGAAACTAATACGACAGCATGACGGTGATTGTGATAATAACAATAACAGTGCTCATGTTTGTAAATACAAACACCAGCAGAAGCAGAGCCAGCAAGTCGAAACTTACAATTGGTACAAGTGTATCGAATAGATATATTTTTTTTTTTTTATTGCACTCCATAAAATTTACAATCAATTCCACGGGGGAATTTTTAGCAAATATATTGGCTTTGGTCAATGACATGACTAGTATAAGTATTACATGCGTTAAACTAAAGATTAAATAGTAACTATAAAAGATCTACAGGAATCTACCAGTAGTATTAGTGTTTGTCGTGACGGTTATGATGGTTGGGTAAATCTATTAACTAGTTTGAGGGGATGAGCCCTCTTCAGTCTGTATGTGTGGTCGTTGATTTGTAACAGGTTGGTGACAAGATTGTTTTCATGATGCGTGAATGGAATAGATATATGAGCCCTCTTCAGTCTGTATGTGCGGTCGTTGATTTGTAACAGGTTGGTGACAAGATTGTTTTCATGATGCGTGAATGGAATAGATATAAACTTAAAAATAAAACTTTACATTTTCGACTTATTTTTTCACGAGGAACCATCCTCTGCCCAGTTGTACCACTGTTACCAGAACACCCTGTGTAAATATTACTACAAGTCCAACTGTTTGAAATATTAGACAAAATTAAGCAATATATTTCTTACGTCGAAAATAGTTAATGGAGTAAATTCTAAATAAATCGAGTTCTCGAAAGAAGTACCTGCCACTGTCGTTCTTATTCTTTCCAGCAGACTGTCTGGGATTTCTGGTCTTTCTGACGTTAGCAAAGAATGAGTCACCATTAGCCTCGATTTCCGGATTCAAGTCGTAACGAAAACTAGGTCCGCCATCGGGAACGTCGTGTTTTGTAGCTTCTCTGCTTTTTCTTCTTTTACGTGTTCGATGACCAGGTTCTCTGATCGGAGGACCGTATCCTGAACTCATTTCGAAGTCGCCGTACATTCTCTTCATTAACGCTTTATTTTCGTCGATAAAACGTTCTATGCGTTCTCTAAAAACATTTTATTACATTATTGCTTTGCCAGCTGTCGTTTTGCACTGATTAATCTTTCGCGGTCCAAGTATGCCCCTCGAGCGAACGACTAATTAGACTAACGTCAAATATAGATTACGTTACGTATCTACAAGCACAAATCAACACGTGTATACTCTTTCTCTTGTAAAGCGGTACCTTTTGAGCACGTTTACTTTCCGTGTGTGGAAACCATTATTACTCTTAATTAAATTGGACCTTCATTCGACCGCAAAAGGTTAAAGTTTTTAGCACGATATGCAGGGTGAACTGCATAACGTGACCATCTCTATTATTTGCCTTGTTAGTGAACCGATAAAAATTCTTTTTATCAGAGGTGACACGGTTTCGGAGGACTTTCAAGGTAATATTAGATTTTTTTAAATAAGTTCACAAGGTCACCTTCAATTTTTTTATATATAACCCCATAATTTTTTTTAATTATCAGTTAGCACGACACCACGATAAAAGCTTTCAGGTGAAAAGTGATTTTGTACAAGCTGAATGACATGCGATGTCTGTAATCTTGAGCTTCGAACTTAAATTCATTACTTAGGTTCACAATAGTATGTATATAAAGTGCAAGCCACCCGTTATTTTTCTACACAAGTGCATAGAAACTGGTGGTCGGCATTTTGAATATATTCTTTTTTATATTTCCAAGAAATATTACAATTTGTCCACTATGAGTATTTGGTAAATTGTTTTAACAATATTGTGTGCTTATATCGCGTAGATTCTTTTCCATTAGGAAGCATCTTACACTTTGAATGCATAATATTGTTAATTTAAGTAAGTTCGAACCTTAAGATTACAGAACTTTCTTCCGTTCTTCGAAACCGTAGATAATATCTTTGACAAAAAAGTTTGGATCAATCGTTAACAACAAAAATAATAGAAGTGGTCACATTGTACGGTTCACTCTGTGTATTAAAAAAAAAAAACGCAATTAGACACAAAACTTCAGGATATGATATAATTTACGTAGAAATAAGTAAGATAATATTTATGAACTTTAAGGTACTTATATAAAATATTATTAGACTGTTGTTACAACTATTACATTGGGTATGTGTTTCCGGCAGTTGGACAGAACAGTTGGTGATATTTTTTAATGCACGGTACACCACGTACCAAATCCCCTCTCAATTCGACGCCCAGGGCAACAGAAAGCGCAGTCCAAAGAATCTGCAACAAAAAATAACACGTTTCAAATACATTAAATTTCATCTTATATTCCAGGGGTGGCCATAGCGCGGCTCTCGCAGGCGAGTGGTGCGGCTCTTATGCAAATAAAATGTACATATGTATAAAATATCCCAACTAGAAATTTCAGTTAGGCAGATATTAGGTCCGCATTAGGCTAGCCTAATTTGCCTGTTAGGCCCGCATGCGGTATGTAACGCGGAATATTCACGACCGCCTAATTGGGAAAACCTCGTTAGGGTCGCATTAGGCCCATATTAGAATAGCTTTATAAGGCTGTCATTGGGAGACATTAATGAAATCTCACGAGGAATAGCTCATCAAGACACTGCATGTTGAAAGCTCTCACGCAAGCGTACGTCCGACACTGAGATGTCTGTAAATATTCCTACATATAAGTTTGAGAGCCCCACTCCACCTAATTTGAGAGCCCCGCACACCTAGGTGTGCGCTCGGCCATCCCCATTTCAGTCACGTATGGCAACTGTTAGGAATGCCCAACCTAAGCGTGCGCTCGGCCAGCCCTATTTGGGCCACGTATGGCTATGGTTAGGAATGCCTAACTTCGGCGTGCGCTCGGCCACCCCCATTTGGGCCACGTATAGCAACTGTTAGGAATGCCCAACCTAAGCGTGCGCTCGGCCAGCCCTATTTGGGCCACGTATGGCCACTGTTAGGAATGCCTAACTTAGGCGTGCGCTCGGCCACTCCCATTTGGGCCACGTATAGCAACTGTTAGGAATGCCCAACCTAAGCGTGCGCTCGGCCAGCCGCATTTGGGCCACGTATAGCAACTGTTAGGAATGCCCAACTTAGGCATGCATTATTCCTTCCGAATTGGGACCTAAGGCGGTAACGATTAGGCTTGCAGCACTTAGGTATGCCTAATCGTTTCCGCATTAGGCCCACATTCGTCTTTAGGCACGCCTAACTAGGCGGTAACGATTAGGCTTGCGGCACTTAGGTATGCCTAATCGTTTCCGCATTAGGCCCACATTCGTCTTTAGGCACGCCTAACTGAAATTCTAGTCGGGATGGTAAACTAAAACTGATCAATGTCCAAAAGTAATTATTTTATTTCATTTCTTGTTAAAAAGTTATTAGTAAACTGAAACTTTAAAAAATTGAACTGATTTTTCAGTTTCTAATTGTTTGTTTTGTTATCAAAGATAAATAAATGGCTCTTTCAAATATTCCTTCCTGAAATGTGGCTTCCAAAGGTAGTGTAGCTGGCCACCCCTGTTATATTCGTTGTTTTACATATTATTATACTCAAGGCACGGCTTATAACACATTGTCTGTAAGTACATTTAGTATATTTATTCTTATTTTTTAATTCTCACTGAAACCATAAACGTTATGGCCTCTCATTTTTCACATTTATCGCTAGAATTGTAAATATTTCAATCCGTTATTTTATTTTTGAAAACAATACAAGGTGTTATCAACAATTCTTCCTTTTCCGAACAAAACGAAAATTATTTATTATCGATTAAAGTATCGATGCAAATTAATGATAAGGAAAATTGTGTAGCTTTGAAGTGATGAAAGTGAAAAACACTATTTTAAAAATCGCAACAGCCTTGTGGGTCAACACGCTGCGAGGGTCGAAGTGCTAAGCATGGGCTTTATGGTTAACCCTTTCCAGGGTAACGATTCCATTTGTTATCACGTACTATTTTGCATTTGTATATATGCTGTATTTCTGTCCATAAATATTTTTTGATATCATTTTTTAGTAAAATAAACATTTTTACAAGTGGCCACACTGTTACATTTGGTGAATTTACCTATTTCGAAATTATGATGGTAATAAAGTGTTTTCCCCTTTTTGAAGAATTTAATTAATTTGGGCTGGAAAGGGTTAAAGCGGTGTTATAGTTAGAAAAGTCGGATGAACCGGTGGTAGCTCTTGGGTTAAACGTGAGACCCCACAGGTTGCATTTAGCTATATCCTATTTACTTCAAGTGGTAAAAGTATATCGTTCTGGTTTTTTTTTTATTATGCTACTAATATTACTGAGGATGGATTTTTGAGTCGAAGTAAACGAATATAATTTAACAAAACTAAATTCTAATGTAATGATATAATAAACACATGTTACAATGTTGAATACAAGTTAACTCCTGACTAGACAAGAATATCCTTTCTCGATATAAGCCTAACTTAGACGGACCACTTTAAAACCACATCAGTCACAAAACGGTGGTTGGGCAGTCGGTGGAATCAACCACTCGCCATCATTTTCTATAGGTATGTAGTGGTCGCGAGTGGTTCGTATTGACGACAACGAACCACGCCACAAGTTTGGTACCAAACTGAATTTCGAAGAAAATGAAAAAAAGGCTGAAAAATTAAAACAAATTGTTTTTTAATTTTGAAAATTAAAGTGTTTTGATTATTTTTATCGGTAAAGAACACTACAAAAAATGTGTATTTTTTATTTTCAACCATAAAGGACTGTTTTTTAAAAATTAAAAAGCTTTCCTAAAAATGTTGAAAAATTGCACAATTTGTGAAAGTCGAAAATAAAAAATAATCGTAATATCTACAACATACACATATGCTAGCGGCGAGTGGTGTCGAGTGGACTGAGTGTGGTCGGCGTGTCGCATAAAATGCGTTGTGCTCAACCACCGACGACGCATTGCGACAACCGGCGAAACTGACTTCAGTCAGTGGTCCGTTGTCCACAGGCAGTCACCGGCGACCACCGTTTTGTCGCTGTGGTGTTATTCTAAAGTGATCCTGAGTTAGTTGAACGATTGTACCGATATTGTATATCATTGAATTCATCTCAATGTCACCTACAATACTACGTAGAAAAAGTTGTACAGTGTCATTTACAAAAAAATGAAGATGCCCCGATTTTTTGTGGAAAAAATAGTATTTTCGCAATTTTTATCTTTCTAATTTATTGACGATCGAGCACAGATGATTTTTTATTTCAAGAATTTTCTTCTCGCACCATTAGAAGTGACTGAAAAACAGTGACCGTTACACTGAACACCCTGTATACTCCTGCGGCAAGGGGATCTCCACTCGAGATAGCAGTGGACTGTTAATGATTTATAGTGTTGCTTTTAACTCCAGCAGTTGAGTAGTCATCGATTATTCGTTGTTTTATTAGAATAAATTTTTATTTGAATAAAAATGTAAGATCTACTGGTCGACCAAGCAAACTTCAAGGTTCTAACGTGCATGCCTGTGCAAATGAAGGGAAAATAGGCGGGCGCACTATCTCCACTACTCTACGGTCGTTGACTGCCTCCGCCTGAGGCGAAGTTATGGTGTAGATAAAAAAGTGGTATTTAACCAACTGTCGGTAATGTCGCGCGCTCCCAAAAGAATAGGAAAGTGAAGATTATCTGCCTTCCTTGTTTTTCTGTTTGGATCAGGGTACGAGACAAACATTTAGTAGCACTTAGGACGTTAATTTCTACTGTATTACAGCAAACTGTTATTCTAATAGAAACCTCAGGAAACGTATTAATATTTTTTTTAAGATTTAGAAAAGTAAAAAGTAAACATTTTTTCGTTATTCCTGAATAATAAAGTTTTTTAATCTCTAAAAAATTGGTTATAAAGTCTAAAAATTTATGGCAGAAATGAAAGAAGCATGCCATTATAGATCGACAGCTATCGTTTTCGCGCCTCGGAAATCGACACGTGGCTAATCTGTTACCGACTGCTGCCTCGAGGATCAATCATCATTGTTCATAGAAGAGTAAGTGTGATAGCCTTACTCTATCGCGATTGGTTAACTATCAGTGAAGACGTAAGAGGTTCTCCTCCATCTCTCACTTCCTGAACACAACTTCTCCTTGAACCTTCAGGTTTACTTGACCGACCTGTATATGAGCCAAAGATATGTAACGAGAACCGTTGTTTTCTAAACGAAACATACTTATGCAGTAAATTGACATAGTCTAAAAGAAAATTAAAGAACTATGGCACACATTTTTCAGATTTTTACATTGTAGAAGCCAATATGAAACAAAAATCAAGAATAAAAAGTTACGTTTGAAGCTTCGTTTTTAAGATATTAACGTTTAAAAATATCCCCGTAGTCGAGCAAACCTTCCTACACCAGCGAATATAGGGCACTCCAAGATACAGGAGTACAATGATCCTCAAAGTCAACGACACATGACCGGCAATTTAGCTCGTATAATTTGTAGAGAAGAAGACATGACATTCGACACTGTAAACGGAATTACCGTCTTCTGCGACACTACCGTTTGTTTTACAACGATACAGGTGAATGTCGGAAAGTTTTTCAAATGTGTATTCCAATGCACACAACAAACACAATACGCACAAATCACTGAAAAACAATCACTATACACTGCAATATTTACATGCACAGACGCACGCACGAAATGGAGACTAAGAAAGCCAAAGAAAACAAAAAACTAAGGAAAAATAAATTAACCTCTTCAGGGACACAGACACATATGTGTACCTTTAAATTTTCCAAAAATTCCAATATTTGTGATAGAGAAAATACGAAAAACACAATCTCCCGAAATCTCCAAAGGAAAGTAGTTTAATTGCTGTCGATTTAACATGAATATAAATGTAACTACATAAAAAATTAGATCAATATTTTCTAATTTTAAAAATCTCTTAAGGAAAGTAGTTTAATTGCTGTCGATTTAATATGAATATAAGTGTAACTACATAAAAAATTCGATCAATATTTTCTAATTTTAAAGAAAATCGCCAAGAGATTAAACCTGTATTAAAAATACATTAAAATGTAATAAATTAAATTTAACTATTTATGGAAAGCTAAAACTAGTTAACTTATTACTTTACAACTGTAAAGTAATGTATAATTAGAAAACGGAGATGAAAATAAATGTAAGTTTCTTTATCGCGTCGAATAGCTCTTCATATGTTTCGTTTTCGTTGCCGAAATGTTCCTTTTCCCGATTCTGTCCTATTCTATAGGTCGTACAGATCTTAATCTCGATGT